GGACACATAACTATGTGGCAAATTTACATTTTGAGGTGAGGAAGCTTTCAAAGGGCCTATCTCTAGTAGGCCACATGTTCTTACTCCAAATGGAAACTTTAATGTTGCCAGCCAAGCCTCATTCCCTTTCCTGATAAGGTATTTCTAAAATATGAATGTGGATTAATCCTCTTTTAATAAGCATTAACTCAGCACAGATAATCAAAGTATAAAAATTCCATCAACTCTTTTAGCTGCCTTTGGATGGCTTTATCAAATTTATATTTCACCAACAGTTTTAAAACCCGTGTGTGAAATGTTTAGGATTTCATAATTTCCTTACTAAGTATTAACTTGTTTATATTTATTGAGTTTCATAAAATCTATTACCCTCAAAAGTAATATTCACAAAATATGATTCATTCCTGTACAAGTGAAAACATAATCATTCTCATGAAAAAGTTGATGGGTTTAAAAATTAGCTGTGAATAATCATAGTTTAATTTTAGTAAAAGCTACATAGCAGCTCTATTCAAATGTATATTGTTCATTTTTTTATTCACAGTGTTATATACATAATCAAACATTTACTCTACATTTAAAAATCATCTAATCTTTTCCATATTTTCTGCCCTAATTGGTTTATACTCCTATTTTACTCAGTAACAACCTAGATAGTGAATTATTCTAGAAATCAGGAATCTCACACTTGAAGCAACAAGTAGATTGTTAGTACTCATTGAAGATTAAGATACATAACATTTCATGTTGCTCGAGAAAGTACAAACAATTTTATGTAGAATATGGGATATGGGGATACCTTGTTTTTTCCAGCTGCCCTCCTTTGTGCCATGTGCAAACCTGCAGTTCATGTTTCTATCTAAAGAATTTAAAGGATAAACATGAAAACAAAACAGCAAATTAGTGTGTAAAGCTGCCTTGGGAAAATGTCCACATTCTGCCTGTGTAAAGAAGTAAAACATGTTCGGGCCAAATTATCCTATCAGATATTCAAATATACAGGTTTATATTTGATCTTTGATAGCTGTTTTATGAAATCTAAGGTTTTAACCTACCAGTGTTTGCTGTTGTTGTTATGTGCCATGGAGTCGGACCCAACTCAGTGTTTAGTGATAGTCAAATGTTCTGAGGCCTTAATGGAAAAAATACACTGAGGAGCAGTCTTTTTTTTTTTTGTAAATTCTTTCTAAACCTTCAAATACAACTCTTTGCCTGAGAGGTTTTGCCGACATAGATTGAGCCAAAGACAACTTGCCCAGAGTTAGAATCTCTCTCATGGCTCCCCACTGGATTATTATCTCTGCTAGCCTACCTTGTTAAGAAGAAATTTGGAATGCAGATTTGTGAAAAAAGGAGAACAGAAAACAAATTTTACCTGCTTTACAATTCAACTTAGGGGCAGTCTAGCTCTCTTAAAATGAATCTTTCAACATATGCAAATTACATCAAACGTTTTAAGTATAAATCAATGTGGTACAAGATTACAGTTGAAGTTCAAAGTAAATAAAGTGCTTTATGTTATAAATTAATTTAAGTACTGATACCAAAGTATAGAGGAGGCTTGGTAGTGCAATGGTTAATTGCTCAGCTGCTAACTGGAAGGTTGACAGTTGGAACCAACCAATGGCTCAGCAGGAAAAAGGAGCTGGCAATCTACTCCCATAATTACTGACTATTCTAGTCTGTCACATGGGATTGCGATGAGTCAGTAACAATTTGATAGCATACAACAATAACCAAAGTATACATTTTGTTTTTTAGCAAAAGAAAAATTTATCATTTTGAATAAACATCAAGAATCAACATCAAATTTGGAACATGAGTGGAAAAGAAGAAACCTTAGGTTTTCATCTTGCAAGTGAGATTACATTGTTTTAACTTTACTTAGTTCTTATACTTGTAAAAACACAAGATTGCCAGATAAATTTTTATGAAAACCAAAATATAAACAGGACCAGTAATAATAGTATAAAAAGTCTAAAAAAACAAACTCATTTCCGTCGAGTCGAATCTGACTCATAGCGACCCCTCCTTGGGTTTCTGAGGCAGTATCACTATGGAAGTAGATTGCCTAACTTTCCTTCCAAGGACTGGCTGGTGGGTTTGAACCTCCAGCCTCCTGGTTAGAAGTCAAGTGCCTTAGACACTATGCCACCAGAGATCCTAATAATAGTATATTCTCTATAATTTTTGTAATGTACTGCAGGGAAAGATAGCCTCCTATGAAATCTCTCTACTCTTAAAATGGATCCTTATCTCATATATGAAATACCAGAAATTTGACTATGAGAACCATAAGCCACTACTCATTCTTATTTAAAACTTACATTCTCTACACTGCATTTGGGACTATAAATAAAAATTCAAAATGGCAAAAAATAGGATATTATGGAAAGAAATGTGTGGATAGCATTCCCATGTCATATATGTAACGCTAGGTACTAACATCTACTTCCATAAAGATTTACCACCTTGGAAATCCGAAGGGGGTCACTATGAGTTGGAATCTACTTGATGACAGTGTGTTTGGTTTTGGTTTGAGTGGTTTGTACTTTCACTTGCTTTTCACCAAGAAGAGAAAAGCATTGCTGGAGGCAAATTACTACCGAAAGGTGAATCCAATCTGAGAGTAAGCCATCTATCAATTAAGTACAAAGGTTTTGAAAGTCTGCTTACTGACTTGGCCTTAATCCAAAATATTTGAAGGGCACAGCACCTTCTGATTTAACAGTTCTTCTACAAGCAGATGAAGATCAATCACAATGAGAAATGATATGAGAACATATATTATTCTTGTTAAGCTCATAGAACAACAGATATTTTCTAGTTAAGTGTAGAGAGTAGCATTTGGCCTGCTCTGCTCTTGAAGAGAAAGGGGAGGAGAAGAAGGGGAAGGAAATAACTACCCTACAATTTTCACCACAGGTGTACACCTAACTGTGAGAGCTGTGTTATTTATAAGAATTGAGTGAATGAAGATGTATTGATGGCAATAAGGCAACATTTAAAATGTGGATAGATTAAAATTTTGCCCTAACATGGCTATTGTTGTGGGCCTGAGAGTTGATTCCAACTCATAGTCACCTTGTAGGACAGAGTAGAAAGTAGAACTGTCCTATAGGGTTGTCAAGGCTGTAAATCTTTATGAGGAGCAGACTGCCACACCTTTCTCCCATTGAGCACCTGGTAGGTTCAAACTGCTGACCTTCTGGTTGCCAGCTGAGCAATTAACCACTGCACAACTTATCCTGAAAAAAAAAATCCTAACATAGTTAATCCTTTGTTATTATCACTGAAGTCAAGCAAAGGGATCAGCACAACACTGTGCTTGAATTAAATCAGTTCTTCCTTATCTTCTATATGGATTATACACTTGGGTCAGGGCAGTGACATGTAATCTGATGGACTAAACAGATGTATTGATGGACAGTACCTAAGGCAGAGAGAAAAGGACTGGACTATAAAACAGGAAGGTGCGTTAAAGTACCTTTAATGTTTAAGACTCTGGCATGCAATAGTTATGCCAACACCCCTTTCCTGGTAGAATCCCTCCTTGGTGCAGTTATATACCATACCACTTAGATGAAAAGACACAAGGAAATAGGCAGTCAGCAGTCAAAGACAAATGAAAGCAGTAGTGTGATGTCAAGTCAGGAGGCATAGAAGTCCTTTTGAAATAGGCATGCTAGACTGCTTTCCTTAATCCTGGAAATGTATTCAAACCAATAACTAATAAACTTTATCTTCATAAAATAAAGACATACACCACAATGTTATGATCAAATGATCATACTTGAAAGCTGTCAAATAATAAACCAGTGGATAATCCAACCAAGTGGATACTATTCCTTGCATTTTGTGCTATTTAGGCACTATTGACTTGTTAGAGGCGGACAAGCTTCCATAGTGTAGAAGCCTAATGAGCAACGAAACCCACTTCAATTATTAAGATAATTATGCTTATGAAAGTCAAAATTAGATACAGAAGATTGAACTAACTGTCTCACAAACTTAAAGAGTGTTTTGTAGGATAATGTTATAGTAAATTAGTTTCTTGTAAGTTCTAGGTAAGTGTGAAGTATAATGAGGCAATTTCTCTTTATTATTTTTGTTATTGGGGAAAAGTTAAAATGAATCTCAATTACAGTTGTATTGAACACAGCTTCAGGGTTGAGCTCATTCTTTCAATCATTGACCTTATACTTTTCTCTCTCTCCTCTTTCTTTCATTAAGCCTTAGAGATATTTTGGATGCCATCTTTTTTGACACCCTTGAAACTCTGCCTTGGATTCTAAGGAGAGAAGGATTTTATAACAAGGTCGATCAAACCATCTAGAATTGTCGTTTACCATTTGTTTGTTTGTTTGTCATCTGTTTGTTTTCTTTCTCCTTCTTCCTTCTAAAATGCTGATTGGTCATGTTGAAACAGATATCCTGCTTAGTAGTCATATTAATTCTGGTAAAATTTTTGCTTGTTTGTATTTTCCATCTGGGACATTTCCTATTGTAGTTTGTATACTGGAATATTAAAAACTATATTTCAAACCTTTTATTTCCTTGAACATTTTAGTAATGCTTTTGTCCCAACCCACTTCCCAATTAATGGATCGATAACATGTAAAGTCTGTGTGCATGTGCATCTGAGTGCATGTGTGTATACGTATGTGTGTGTTTTGAAGAGTTCATAGAGAAAAAAGGTTATGCACTTTATATATGATAAATTTGGTGATACATAAAGTTTATCATAAGTACTCTTGTTAAGCTTCACTGGTGATAAATATAAATACATTGCTAGAATATCATAATGTGATAATGTGTCATAATGTGAAATGGTCAAGAGCTACGCATTAAGGCATGTTGTATACAATTGCATTTCCAGAGAAGGTTTTTAAAATAAACCCAAAATATTCATTCATTCATTTTTTTCCCACCCTATTCTTTTAATTTCATTTCATTGCATTCTCAAATACAAGTTTTCTTAGCTGGAAATAGTCTCTTACCAGCATAATTGCTAAGTCCCTTTCTTTTCTTTCTTCGCCAATACAACCAGATGCTAAAACCCATCAAAATTACCCAGCAGGCACCACCAATACCAGCTATAAAGGCTGGTTGCTTCACAACATCAGTGATTTGTTCAGTTATGCTGTTATTGTTTTCAGTAATGACAACTTCATTATGTCCTCCTATAGGAAAATAAAAAAAATAATAATAGTATTAGTAAATATTAAGACAAAATAAACACAGGAACAATAAATAGTACACCAATGGCACAGAAAATTACTTTGGAATTGGTAATACTGGTTTTGTCATGAGCCTGTCACACTTTCTGATTAGCACATTTTACAAGTTCCAAGAGAAGCAGCAAAGCATTGGTTTGAAAATGTGACAACCTTGTTCTCTAGTATTTTTGTTTGCCATGGACAAATTCAGAACCACTTTTGGATTTATTGCCTTACAATACTAAAACAAGGACTAGGAGTTGAAATAACAGACATTTTTCTTTAACCAGGTAAAAAGTTTTCAAATAAAATTCTTGCGAAAACAAAACCAAGTAGAATACTTAGCACAAGTACTTGCAAACTGCCTTTCTTCTTCAGCACTGTTCATTATTCAGTTGGTCGTGATTTACAGTTAAGTAATAATATTTCTTCTGGCTCATCCTACTAAAATAACTTCTTTTGTTTAAGCATCCTTCAGTTTCCTGGGAGATATTAAAACTGCTATACAAAACAATGACAACTATATAAACATTAATAGAGATAATCGTGTATGATTAAAATTATTATGAAAACATAAAACTAATATATGTTCTTAAGGTATTTAAAAATAACTTGAAATTTCTACTTATAAATTGAAAAAAATCAAAAGTTATTTATAGGGTCATCATAAATAAAATATACATTTATATATATATTTAAATCTGAACTAAGATTATTTGGGTAATGTTTTGACAATTTAGACTTCTTTGAGATAAATTAAGAAAATTTCATTCATGTTTTTAAATAGGCTTTTAACTGATGGGATCCATGTTACTGAGCAGCAATGATGTAGGTATTTATTAAACAGATTAAGATATTTAGACATTGAGAATTAAGTGATTTCTAATGTCAATATCATATCATTAGCTTTTGACTAATCAAAGACTTTCCAATATGAAATGTAAGCTAAACTATAATGACAATAATCTATAGCTTAATAGATACTTAGTCAGTGCCTCAACAATTTGACTGTTAACCAGAAGTCTGGTGGTTCAAACCCACCAACCACTCCTTGGAAGGAAGGCTGGACAATCTACTTCCATAGTGAATCGCCTCAGAAAACCAAGGAGGGGTTGCTATGAGTCAGATCCGACTCAACTGCAGTGAGTAAACTGTCTAGATTTGAGAATCCTGAAAACTATAGCTACAGTAATGTTGAAGACTAGCTGACTTTTTCATCACACTGCCTCCTCTTTTCTCCATGGCACAATATTAGACTACATTTCCCAGCCTCCCTTTCCACTGAATGCAATGAAATGATTGAGTGAGTACTGGGCAGTAGTGTTTAGTCATAAGTAATGCATACCACCTCCAAAACTAGCCAATAACACTGCTGAAACAATGATCTACATTCTCTTTTTTCATGTGTTGAATGAAAAGAAGAGATCTGGTAGAAACTCTGAGCCACTAAGAGATTATAAAGTCATTGGTTGGATGCATCCAGCATCCCTGAATGACTACATGGAGTACATACTGCATCCTCTATTTTGTTGGTTGATATTAGACTAGGATACGAATGACAAAGAAACTTTTCTTTCATTAAGCCAACCAAAATGCAGGACTATACATTATAGCCATCACCATTTTCTTGTACACACTTATAACACATTTCTAAAAGGTCTTTTGTTTTAAACTGCAAACTTAAAAATCAGTTCTATTTATGTAGTAAATCTGTGCTGTTTCCCCAATTTATCTTTCTTCGATTACTAAAAGTGTAAATATAGCCAATAATCTATTTAAAAGAGCCCTGCTGGCACGGTGGTTAAACTCTTGCTTGTTCACTGAAAGGTCTATGGTTCTATGTGAAAAAGAAGTCACAGCTGGCTTCCATAAAGATTTATGGCTCTGGAAGGCCTATGATAGGCCATTCAACTCTGTCGTGTAGGGTCACTATGAGCTAGAATCTACTTGATAGCAATGCGTCAATGTATTTAAAACTAGCTCACATTTTCAATATAAGACATATACACATGGTGATTTTCCTCACTATAGTAGTTATTAGTAGGAGGTGTGGTGGTATCATTCATGGTTAAGGCATTTGGCTGCTATGGAAAGATCAATGGTTCGAACCCACCAGTTGCTCTGTGGAAGAAAAATGAGGTACTCTATTTCCATAAAGATTTTATAGCCTTGGAAACCCAATGAAGGTCATTATGAGTCACAATTGAGTTGATGGCTGTGAGTTTGGTTTGGTTTGAGGAGTTATTACAAAGAAAAAAAAAGTATTATAGAATAAAAAGGAAAGAAATAGATTTGTCTTTCATTTGTATAACAGTTCCAAAAAATATAATGTTTAATATGGTGAAATTTTTATGTTTCCCAAGGTGTATTACTATATCTTAAACTGCTTGTATTTTTGAAATATGCTGTTAGACTCATTAGAGCATAGACAAGGGATGCGTGTGACCTGTAATGCTCCATTGTTCTTGCAGACAAAAAAATATAATGGAATATAATGTCTTCCTCCCATTGGAGAGTAATGAAGAACAAAACTAATTTGTTGGACTAAAAATTAATTAGACACATCAGATTCAATTGTACCTATTACTGTGAAAGTTTGCAGCTGTTCTACATATTATTACACCAACTATGTAATGTAAGCATGAAAAGGCCAAATGATTAGAGAAACAATACCTATATTATTAAGCATGATTACTGAAAATTTAAATCAATATAAATTTGTTATATGACATACTGTTTGATGATAATATATGTGAACATAGTTACTTGCATTTATGTGTCTGCAAGTGCAAGAACAATATAGAATTATGAGCACTTTGAAGTAAAAGTCACCGTGTAGGTGGAAACTGCAGACAAAAGAAAAATATTTCTTTTAAATTTGTGTAAGGCTCTGTGTTATATATTACATAATATTTAAATTAAATATCCCGTTAATAGACATTTCTGAAATAAAAACCAAACTGAGATAGAATAGATGAAACAATACATAGTTGACATAGAACATATCTAAAATTACCAGCCATAAAACACATCAAATCCCAATAGAGGATTTAATCAAAGTAAAAGGGAAATGAAGTAGAGCTTGATTCACTTCAAATGCTGTTTCTAGTCCAGATTGGACAAAAGAGAAAGCATAAATGGAAAGAAAAGGTTAACTATCACTAAATCAGTTTTCAAGCAAAGAATAACAATTGTGTAGATAAGGTTATCAAGAAAGATGTTAAGGTAGATATGCAGGGATAATTAAAAAAACAATTAAAAGGCTTCATCAGTACAACAGTAGATATGAAAAAGGAATCAATCTCTTGGAACAATAGTCTTTTCTGGATTAAACTGTGTTTACATGTAGGTCTGTGTTTCATGAAAGTGCTATAATTCTATTTTCTATACATCTTGAGTATGTTGTTGTTGTTTGCCATCAAGTGCAAATTACTTGAATATCATATAGTACTATCACTATAAATTATTTTTTTATTTTATTATTTTAAATTATTTTTTATTTCTTAAATAAATTTGAATAGTTGTACAATACACTAAACAATAAATTATAAGGTAGTCATTATATTTGAGGACCCTTAGTATTTTTTAGCCACTCCTCGGAAGGAAGCTGGGGCAATCTACTTCTGTAGTGATACTGCCTCAGAAACCCGAGGAGGGGTCGCTTTGAGTCAGGTCCAACTCCACGGCACATAATAACAACAACAGTGTTTTTTAAAAGATAGAATAGTTAAGCAAAACTGTGTGTTTTAAACTTATCTAAATTAACATTTTCTAATGTTTTAAGTTACTATATAATTCTTTAGTTGAGATAATCATGAAACAGCTTAGTTAATGTAATGATTGCATTTTTTACTTGCTTCCAAGTGTCCAAGAAACAAAACGAAATTCACTGCCATGGAGTACAATCTGACTCATAGCGACCCCTCCTTGGGTTTCCTAGGCAGTATCACTACAGAAGTAAATTGCCCACCCTTCCTTCTGAGCAGTGGCTGGTCAGTTTGAGCTGCCAGCCTTCGGGTGAGCAGTCAAATGCCTTAGGCACTATGCCACGAGAACTCAATTAGTGACAAATACAGTCAGTAGAAGAAAAAAAGAAAAAAAAAAAAAAAACTTATTTGGCTTGAGAAACACGATTATTACTAAATATGATAGGAAATAAGACAAGAAATTGAAATAAGGATACTTAGCAATCTTAGTTATCTTTGAGTTAGTATAATTATATTTAGTTAATTCAATTCACATATATGTTGAATTTAAAACCAAAACAAACAAAAAGACCTATTTACCTATCTGGGGGTACTTTAATAATTATTAAAATGTTTAATA